TTCGGTCTCCAGGCGGTTGGTGGACAAACGCGAAGCAAATCAGCCGCAGAAGATCGGTTCTCTTGGCAACCGAGAAGTGTGGTAGAGTGGGAGATGTACACACGGACTCTGCCGGCCGGTCGTGGCGTCGGGCCCGGCTCCGCTGCCGGCGCCGGAGTCGGCTACGCGGCGGCGTACGCCTGCGGCGCGCCGGGACTCGGCGCTCCCCGAGCCCGCCTCGCGGCCACACTCTCGGGCCCGCCCTACACCGGCTCGAGCTGCGTCGCGGTCGCTCAGGCGACGGGCTATCCGGCCGCGTCGGTGGGTGTCGCGACGTCAGCCGCGTCGGCGGTCGGGCGCTGCGCCAATCGCCAGTCGGCTCTGGCCTCGAGTCCCGCCTCGACGACGTGCGTGGCGCCCAGCCTCTCGGCCTCCTCCTCCTCCTTCGTCTACTCCTCTTCGTCCGCCTCGTCGCCGTCGCGACCTCGGTCCGGCCCCCGTCTGCCACGGCGCGCCGCCATCGCCGCCGTCGACGAGCCACAAACGGACCGAGCTGCTGATCTACACACCCACTCGACCCACCACAACCACCACAATTCGCATCAGTGTCAGCAACAGCAGCAGCAGCATCATCGGTATCATGCACAGAACCCTTCAGCGTTGGGCACGACGCAAAAGTCAGCCAGTTTCGAGACGCAATCGGGCCAGAAGCTGAGTGCTGCCTCGTCTCGCTCCGGCATTGGCGGCAGATCCAAAAGCTCAGGTAGTGCCTTCTATTTGTACAAAATTTCACACAACCCTGCTTTCCCCAAAGGGGTGTACTGCAGTTCCGAGCTCGCTTCGACTAGTCTCGCCAGCACCGCTTGACGGGACTCGAACCACATTACGTGGCTGACAGAGCCGGTGTGAACTTCAATAAAGACCAGCAATTGTGCCAAATCACATGCTGTGGTGTTATTGTCGATGACGCAAAATTGAATTTGTCAATCCAGGCGAATGCGTTACTTATTATTCGCTTATAAGTAGGCAGTAGAGATTTCGCCAGTTATTCTATCGACTTCCGAGAAGTCAGTGTTGCAATGATTTCATCTTCATACTGAATAGCTTGCCTTTAACATAACACCTTTTTGTTGGTCTCTCTGAAATAGGTGAGACCAAGAAATTGAGAAAGCATGACGGCCAAAAGTGAGTATTGCCACGATGCAATTGGTAGATTGACTTATAAAAACACCCTTCAGCTCAGGTAGTTTTTAACCTTGGGAAAGTACAGATCGTTGGGTTTACCTGAAGAGACTGAGAGGAATGTCTCAACCTGACATGATATTTCATGATGTGCGTTTTCTAGTTGGTTCGACGATATGGCCTTCCACTAAGTTGATGGGTTTCCAACCAGCACAAGATGGCGAATACAAATATTAGTCAGCCTGGGGCATTGCTTATCTGGCGAAAAGACAGATCGTTTCTTTTTGCTTGACAGAATTATGACATTATATTTCCATCATTTCTTTATGAATTAATGTACACATGTGCACATGATGGAGTTGAATTGAGAGAGTGAGTTTCTAAACTTGCAATATTTCTTAAATAACACTTTTATTCAGCCTAGGCTTTTTCAGATCCATGAGAAAAGTAAGAATCAAAATGTCCTGCATCACAATGACATTATGTTTAATAAATTCCTAAAATATATACGATATTACTTTGCATCCGTGAGTAGATTGCTGAAATGGCACTATATCTTTAATATGAACTTTATTCAACATAGGTTGTATACGTTCGCTGCAAAAGCATCCAATATGGTCCAAAGGATTGTTTTCACCATTTATTTAATCATTGTAAAATTTAATTTATTTTTTTAATTATTTGGCACTTTTTAAAGGAGATTACCTAATTTTTTCAGTAATATAAAATTCAACTAATTTATGATACTTCTCTTTGGACAGACAGGTTCAAGGTGTCTACATCATTTAAGTGAATAGGTCCCTAAACGAGCTATAATTCTTGAAAAAAAGCTTCATTCAACACAGGTTATATTAGACCAATGCTAAAGTGTATAATGGCATTTCTTTTATTGTAATGACAGGAATTTCTCACGACGGCATTGTGCTTTATAAATGGCGTTTTTCAATTCATTCGGCAAATGTGTACAACATCACTTTAAATAAAGTGAACTAGCACTGGATCTTGAATAAGAGTATTAGTTAGCATCAGTACTTTATTAGCGTTTTTTGTTGATACAGTGATTAAAACGCCTTGATAACATATTTCATGAATCACGCTGGATGGTTGAGTCGGCAGATTTTACCTTTCTTTACTGTCGACGACAATACTTTAAAACTGGCGTCGTAGTTTCTCAACTAACAGTACAGCTTGAGTACGAGCTTAAGTTACCTTAATTCGATTACATAAATTGGAATTATTCTAGATAATTTGAGTTATTATCATTTTTATTTTATTTTACTTAGCCTAGCTATCCATTTTTTTTTCATTTTCCACCTTGTGATGTCTGCATTATAGTTTTTCGACTAGCGTTTCCGTAGTCAAGGCTCAAAACAAATTGTTGAAATTGTAAGAAGTATAAGATTCTCTTCTAATACTTGAATCAAGTACATTACTAGTACTGCTACAGATGTCTGCTATACACGTCTAGGAAATGTTGGAAAGCTTTTAGTTTGTTTAAGAAAGTTAATTTCTTGCTCGTTTCAAATTTCTTCCTTCTCTAGTCTGGGCCGCAGTTTCAACTTGGATCTTGTGTTTTTGATCACCCGTCGAGATGAATACCCATAACGTGGGGTACTGAGGCTGTGTGAAACGAGCTAATCAATAATCTCTGTCGTAACCACCATTTGAGAAAACATGACGCATGCTTTCCCATAGATACATCTCCACCATTAGCCTTCCTTTTCTACCCATTCATGCCAAGATATGTACTCACCCCAGATCACCTGAGGGGCTGCAAGACGGACAGTTGAGTTTATTCCCACAATGCTATGAATAGGCTTCAGAATGCATTGCTACCCTGAATGTGTTCTCGTGAGTTTGGCAGAAAAGCTACATGAACTTCAAAAGCATCTTAAGACCAATTCATAGCATTGGGCAAAAAACTAGACTATCAGTCTTCCAAATTTATTATTATTATTTACTTATATTACTTATATATAACATATATATATATATATAATAATACTTATATACTTACTTATTATTATAACTTATTTAAATACACTCTTATATATATATATATAAATATATATATATATATAAGTTAATG